AAATAACATATATACACTCGCAAGTTTGGCGGAATAGGCTTCTTCTAGATTAGCAGTTTAGAAGAAGGCAGTGCAAGTCATTTGTCACTGTCAACAAATAGCAAGTTGAAAAGGAGAAACGCGCAATAATGACCGTCATGCATTAATGCGGGCCAACATGAGAGAGGGGGAACCAAAACAAAAGGGGAACAGCTGCAAGGAAACAAATACCTTGTAGAGAAGGATCTCTTTCCATATATGGAGAAAAGAAAATAATCGCAATTCGGTTTCTGGGTTACAAGAGCTTCAAACTTTATGGTATGCTAAAATTTCCAAGCGAAGAGGTTAGAATTTACATGCTTGACGGTTTTTCAATTACGGTGTGCACATCTTGGGTTATGTTGCCAATCAGTAAAACTCTATTTTGCTTACGCGCACAAAATCAAGGCAAAAATGCTTTATACTGTATTGAGATTAAAGAGGTGAATTAGTTGGTCATAACAACACTTTTACATCTTTGCCCCATGCTGAAACCAAGAAAAATTCCTTCTGAAGAGATTTTTTTTAACAAAATGTCAATATGACATTTTTTCCTTATCCCTGAGAGTTTGTTGTGATGAGATTCTACTGTATATAATCAGGCAGCATCAGTATTCTGCATCATGAGCATCATCAAAGACCAGCAGAAAAAAAATGCAGTTCCGGATGTCTTGTCCAATATACAGTCAAACCCCGTTAAACTGCCAATGTCTGTGCAGCAAGATTTTGGCGGTTCAATGAGGGTGGCAGTCTATTGTGGGTAGTGGTTCAACAGGGGGGGGGGGGGGCTCCTGCACATGAAATTTATTGGAATGTTGGCCACATACTGATCACATTGTCACAGTTTTGGATGACCAATTTGAAATTTGCAACAGCAAATATTACTACATGACAAAAAAATTAAGAAAAGAGCATGATGGATATAAAAAGAATATCTTTACATTAATATATGACTTCTTGTGCATTTTTCTTTGTGTTCTTGTTTAATTCTGTAGAAAATATTGCCTCCATTCCCATTTAATTTTTCAGCCATCACGTTCTGTTTGTATTGTAAAATTGATGCTCTCTCCAAATTGGCAGTTTAAAGGGTTAAAAAAAACAAGGACAGGTGCCTATTTGTGATCAGAAAATTGTTGGCGGATGGTGGTCTATCAAGGTTTCCCCATCCTTTTAACATTGGGGAGATTTGTTTGGGGTAAAAATCATGGCAGGAGGTGAGGGTAGCAGTTTATCAGGGGACAGTTTAACAGGGTTTGACTGTACCTGTATTGCACCTTGATGTAGAATATTATGGCCACAGTATTTTCATTCTCAAAGAAGCAATCAATCAGCAATAGAAGAAAAATGCAAAGAAGAAGAAGAAACTCACAGCTCTCCATCTTGATGCTGCACCTCTGGGTGTCATGAGGGTATCTTTGGAAGTTCATGGCGCAGGACAGGACAAGTGTGAGCCTGAATAAACGGAGACAAAAAGATATGAACCCGCCTTAATGATGCTTGGGGGCCAGGCAGGCCCGAATTGCACCCACTTCACCATATACAAGATGGTCTTGTCAGCGTGCAGCCAGATGTAATGGTTGGGAATGGTCATCTCCTGCAAAAAATAGACTCACATCATCACCAACTCACACACACACACACACACACTCTCTCTCTCTGTGTGTGTCTCCTTGCTTCTTGAACAAATTGCATCCTCACCTGGAAAGTGACTTTCTTGGCGTTTTTGAAGAAGGAATCCGGTCTCCAGATGCCATCGAGCCACGTGACGGGGAGCAGTCTGTATCCGGAAGTGGAATTGCAGGAGCTCATGTTGCCGTCTGGCAGTCGGAGTCTGTAATCTTTCCAGCTCTGGGCAAAGAAAATATCTGCCGCGTATGTCTGACCACCAAAAAAAAAAAAGTAGTTGACTAAAACAGAGCCACAATAAGTGGGAAACCCTTGCTGTTCGCCAACTCACCATGGAGCCCTCATCAATGGAATCCAGGCTCATGACTGTCACATGGAAGTAAACCTGGGTCGCCGCTCCTGCAGCACAAATGCCGAGTCAAGTCCTGGGGTAATTGACATTTATTGGGAAAAATCGGACGGCTCACCATTCTCCTTCGGGGGTTGCATCTTGTCATAGGACTTGGGGTCCTCTGGCAGAATGTCTCTGAACTCCAGGGGTCCTGATCCCAAGGTTTCCCTGTGCATGGTGAAGATTCAGAACCATGCCAAACAAGGTCAGGCTTGTTACAAGTGCATGACTGTATTTTGACACTCTTCTTCATAACTTTACTCATTCACTAAAATACTACTGTATATATATATATATACTTTACAGTGGACAAAAACAAGAAAGGGAGATTCATGCCAGTATATACAGAGGGGAATAGGCCAATAAGACACAAATACTGATGATTTACTCATTTACTCCTTCTGAATTGTCTTTTGTACATCATTCAATATTTGTATGTGCCTTTTATTTCCCTGAAGTGCTGGAGGAGGATACTGCAGTGTATTAATACTGTATTGTCATATTTAGGACTTGGGGTCCTCTAGCAGAATGTATCTGAGCTCCAGGGGCCTTGATCCAATGGCTTTCCTGCATGGTGAAGATTCAAATCCATGGACAAGGATTAGGCTTACAAGTATGCTGACACCTATCCTTATAACTCACAATTAATACAAACTGAAAAGGGGGTTCGCACTGCTATAGATACAGTAGGGTGTAGGCCAAGGAACAAATAAAATGTGTTCCAGCAAACGTGTTGCAAGGTAGCTGGAATGTTTGTAAGGATTGACCCAGAACAAGCAATTTTTTTTTAAAGACACAATTTTCAGCTGATCTATCATTGAAAAATGTTTCAACAAGAATAAGTGATGGTATTATTATTTTTTGTACATTGAGGTCTTGGGAAACAGACAAATTTGTTCCAGCTTCATGCCAGTTGCCTGGAATGTGTTCAAGTTGGACACTCTCAATTACAATCTTTTCTTCAGATACAACTTCAAATCATGGCCCCCCAAAAAATTGGCAAGCTGATTTCATCTTTATAGGCAAGTGCCTTGACAAGAAAAAATCCCTACATTTAATTTATGTTTCCAGGAGGTTTCATTAGATAAGATTCCACTGTAGTATAATTTGGTCATTTCATGGGTAATCATCTTATCTAAGAAAAGTTAATGTACCTTTGATTATGAATATTCCATGTGTGTTAGAGGACTTCAGCTGATACACAACCAAAAGTTGTTTTGAAACTGGGTCAATGAAAATAAAACCACCTCTCGCAGTCTAGAAAACTATCTCTTGAGTAAAATCAAGGATTTACTTAATTTAAGAATGTAGAGATTTGTGAAGAATGAATCCTCCTTCTGGAACGGTCGCAGTAACAAATAATGTTCATGATGGGGATAGATATTGAAACTGCAGTTATTTACAGTATTTGACAAATCCTTCATTAGGTTTATTTTAATTTAAAATGAAGGGTTTCTACATAGGTTGCAGTTGAGTAGGATTAGCAAGACAACCGAGAGCTCTCAGTAATTGTGCAAAGGAAAGGGAAGGAAGTTTTAATGCTGTTTGTCCCGTAATTCAGCTTATCACAACTCAATTATGAAACAGCAGGATGAGCAGGATGCTACTCTGCCCACAACCATTCCATCTGCACTTCAACCTCTGTGTACCAGCAGATTAACTACGATTATGAAGAATTTTTTAAAATTGCTAATCTTGCTAGATTTCATTACCCAGATATACGCGCTTCAAGGCCTTGGGTAATTTTCAGTAATTTATCATGTCAAGGGAACGCGAAATAGATATTTTCATGAGGTCCATGTGTTTGCGTCAATATGCAATTATCATTTTATAAGCAAGTGCTACTTGATGATCTAAGCAAACGCACGTAGTCATTAAAAAATATAATTGCATTCCTGAACTTCACAAATCGGCCCATGACCTTTAATCAAGCTGTTTCAAGAAGGGAATAAGACAGAAGGCGGTAGAAGGGTTTTGAGAAGGACTCTGCCTAATCAATAGACCCTGTGCTGAAGAACACAGATATAGCCTTGTCCCTTTTTAATTATCAACAGAATCGAATCTTTCGGCTCAGAGCAGACTAGAATCAACCCAAGACACAACCCTCTTCATTTCTTCAATAATCCCAGTGAAAACTTGACCACTCTCCCATTTTCAAATAATGTTGTAAATATTGGAAGTACAGTCAACCCCTGTCTAATGGACTTGATTTGTGCAAGGGACAAGTCTGTTAGACAAAAAGTCCTTTACAGAAATTCAATTACATAACAAATTAAAAATTTCAATTTTCAACACTAATTTTGAACCAAAAGAAGTCTGTTTGGCGGATTTTGTCTATTGGGCAAGAAAAACTGCTTGCAGAGCTGGTCTGTTTGGCAAAAATCCCTTACACGGGAGGTCTGTTAGGCAGGGGGCCACTGTATAGCATCCTCTCCAATTTATACTTATGACATCTCAAAAGTTAAAATCTCCAGGAAGTGCTGAAATTCTCCAAAGGAGGTATTTTAAATGTTATAAGGAAAATGGGCCATTTAAAAAATTAGGAAAAGATCAATTGTTTTGTTGTTTTGTTTTACTGCCTTTTAATCCATGATGTTCTGTACCAGTGATGAGGAACAATAAATCTTTATTCTTCAACCTTTGAACAACTGTTGCTTTCTGAATTCTGGTTTGATATGACCAAAGGTCAATGAAATGCAACCTAGTTCCAGGAGCACGCATCCAAGAAATTCAAGTAGGATTAAATTTTATTGTTTTTTTTCGAATCCTCTCATTTTTGATCCTATGTACGGTAGGAATGCAGAAAATTATCTGCAGAAAATATTCCTGTGCTAAGAGAAGCCAAATTGGTCTTTCCCAGACTATGAATGAGTGAGTGAGGTATAAACTTAATTTGCAGCTTGTCATCATTCACAAGGCGCACAAAATTTTCCCATGCACCCACACTGAATGCAGCCATTACACACATTCCTGTCCAAGAAAATTAAGCACTGAATCCTTATGTAAAGAAATACAGTGAGACCCTGAGATGCGGATGTAATTAGTGCATCAAGAGTATCAAGTTGAAATGTCCCTAAGTTGAGTCTCATTTTCCCTCAAAGTTACATTATATAATTTCAATTTGTGTTTTTTGTACAAAATACTCACCCTAATTCCATGAAAATAAAAATTGTCTCCCAATTTAAACAGATTCCAATCAATATATTTCAACACAATATGGACATTTGGGGAATTGAATACTGGTACAGTACATAGAAATGTTGGCATTCTCTGTAAAAATAAAATGCAAGTGAAAAAAGGAAGTCTCTCTCTGCTGGAGGCAATTTTTTTAAATTAGCTAAATGGGTGGTAAATTTGTGAGAGAAATGCCAAAGAGCTTATCTACATCAATTTTAGGGTTGGAAATATTTGTTTCTTGTAATTTAGCCTGAAATGTATTTGCAATTCTACAACAAAATGTCCCTATGTTGAGTCAGTGTCCTCATGTCATGCCATTTTTATGAATTTTTTATTAGAAAATAAGTGTCCCTTTGTCAAATTGTCTGCAGGTTGAGGTGTCCACATGTGGGGGTGTCACTGTAATCATTGGAACACTTTTTCACAGCAGCTGCCCATAATCAATTAGATCATGCTTTACTAGCACTCCCAGATTTTTTTAAAATCATTTTTCAAAGAACTGAACTGAGTAATCTTCTGAAAAAAGACTTACAGTAGGATCAATCATGTACTGTAATCCATAAATTGTTCCAAACTTTTCATTCTGGAAGGATGATGTGTGGAACTGCTTGGAAGCACGCTTGTCAATTGTCATTGACAACAGATTCTGCCCATGCTACAAGAATCAGTCAGTCGAATTTGGGATTTTAAAGTTCAAAACGTGCCCGCCTTAGTCAGGAAATTTCTACCTGGAGGATCTACATACATTCCTCAAAAAGTTTGTTACACTAGAATTGTCATGTTTGTTAACCAGATTGCTCTAACAAAGACTCTTTCGGCATTCTGCTGGCACTTGAGGAACAGTTTGTTGTACAGTCAAACCCTGTTAAACTGGCAATGACTGTGTAGCCTGATTTTGGTAGATTAACTGGGGAGGTGGTTCAGCAGGGGGTGGCATGCATATATTCCCAAAATTGGGGGAAGAAACAAGAACAAGAGAAGGTTTTTAAAAATAGCAAAATGGGAAGTTTCATAAGAAAACATTGGCATCTTCCTATGAAACTTCCCAATATAACTGGACAAATTGATAGTCTGTAAAACAAAAACTTGGTGTTTCCTTTAAGTATTGTCAGTTTATTGAGGGGAAAAACTGAGGACATAAAAATGTTTGTGAGTGGAAAACTGAATTGAACATTGTGAACACTGAAAAGTGGCAAATAAACTGTTCTGTTCATTCATTCATTCATAAACCTATTTTGGGAGGCAAAAAAACCTTGGTGGATGGTGGTTGGTGGCCTATCAATTGAGGTTTTGCCATTCCTTCAACATCAGGCCAATTTGTTTAGTACAAAATGTTGCTGGGAACTAAGGGTGGCAGTTTACCCAGTGGTAATTCAAGGGGGTTTGAGTAGTTTGACTGTACTATATTAGAATTGGGACGTTTGTTACAATGAAATTTTTTAAACATGCAGGGCTCTTTTGGCTTTCTGCTGGCACTTGCATTTTTTATCATTATACTGTACTCAGAACGTTATTGTCACAAGATTTCACTGTACTCAAACTTGAAACTCTTCTCCAGTATAAGCATGATTGTGCAGCAAGTCTCGTCCACTTGACCTTCACCAACCCATTATGATTAGCCCATCCTCAGTTATGACGGATGGGAAAGGATAACGAATATCGTGACTAGATGAGCGTTTTATTTATTTGATGCTTGATTTGCACCTTCTACTTTGGAAGCGGGAAAGGGAATGAAGTCGACTGTTAAATTTCTGAGCCGCCTGAATCCGATTTGCTCAGTGTTTTCGCAATAAAATATGACGGATGCCTGATGCTCATGGGATTTAATGTCCGGTGTAGCTGTGATGATGAAGTGAAACGACACCATAAAACGAGTGCAGTACTGTAAAATGTCCGATAACCCGCGATTTTAATTACGGATGCTCACATTTCCAGACATTCGAGCGTGCACCTTCATTGCTCAGAGACTAAGACATTTTTAAAATGGATTCGTCATGAAAAGTTAAAACAGGAGGATAAACATCTGAAAGGTAATTTTTTTTCAAATGCTTGAATACATGTAATGAGCATCATCCATGAAAATAATGCTGTACTCCATATGCAGAATGTAAATTCGAAACATTCACATTTTTCTCTTGAAAATTTTCCGAAGAAAAAATATTCCTCAAATTACTCAACTGTGAAATGCACCTGAATTTTCTGAAGATTTGAAAATTGTGTAACCACACATCACAGGCACCCTGCCACCTGTCGCAAAAGCAGCTCTTTGAATTGATTTTGTTTTCATTAAATCACCAGCATCCTGATGTAGA